TCTGTAAAGAAAATGGCTAAAACATATTATTAACAATGTGAAGCAATTATGTTTACACATAATAAAGGTGGGATGTATACTAATGCCAAGGAAATTGGTCATGTTGATAATAATCATATCTTCATAAATAAAAGAACCTTATGAGAATTCAGAAAACAGGTAGCCCTTGTTGAAATACTATATGTAAAGTGCCCATCAAGAACTTGTCACTTAGAGATCCAAATGATATTAGTTTCCTCCCTCTTCAACTAAATTTCCTTCCCTTCCATTAGTTGAATGTTTCAACAATGGCTTCATAGGCAATGTGAAAAAATCAGCCATGAAAGTCAGATAAATTTTTTGCAAATGAAAAAAGTGAACAACAGACAGATAGAAGAACCAAGCAAATACGTGGTATTTGTAAATAAGTAAATCAATCTGGTTACTGTGAAGTGGGGAGCTCTGGTAGCATAGTGGCTAAGGCACTTGACTGCTAACCAGAAGGCTGGTGGTTCAAACCCACCAGCCACTCCTCAGAAGAAAGATGGGGCAATCTACTTCCATACTGATGCTGCCTCGGAAACCCAAGGAGGGGTCGCTATGAGTCGGGTCTGACTCGACAGCACATAACAACAACACTGTGAAGTGTTCAGATAAAGGAAAAGTAAAAGATGGGATTGGAAGCTTGTATCAAGATGGGCTCCAGATAGTCATAAAGTCAGACTGTGATATTTGGATCTTATCCTAAAGACATCAATGGAGAATTACTGAAGGGCTTTACTCAGAAAAGTAACATAATGAAAGTGGTGTTTTTTGAAAGAAAAACTGGTAGTAGTATCATAGATAGGCGGAAAAAAACTAATCGATTACAGTTAATTACTCCATAAATCTGACTTATATATATCTTCAAAATTTAACCTCAGAACTTTCCACAAAATAAAGTATATATAATTGTCTCAAGAAGCAGATGATTTTTTTTTTTTTTTGAAAAATGCCTTCTGAGTGATCAATCATGTTTAAACAGAAAGGTATGGATTTTCTGCTCATCAAATCTATTTATATGGCTGCAGAGACCAGACTGATTGTACTTAATATTTCACCATGTATATAACATTTTAATAATCAGAGTGTTGACATGTTTATGTCTTATACATGGAACTTGGCTGTAACAGTCTACTTAACTCAAGGAAATGGAAATGATCAACTTAGGGGCTAAGAAAGCATTTGATTAATTTGACTGCTATAAATAACTTTGGCAATAATGTCTGATGTAGATACCGAGGAGGGCAAAGAACAGGAAGAAATCTGACAAATGGAGAGAACATTTGTTTGAAGAAAAAGAAAGATAATGTGCTCATAAATGATTTTAAATTGAAAAGGGTGAAAAAGAGATAAGAACGAAAATACCACCCAGAATTACATGGTATCTCAAGTTCAATAATGGAATGCAATAGGATTAATTAGAAACAAAAGTCAATTTTTGTATCCAACCTTTTTAAATTTACAGGACTATTTCTGAATGACTCTTCAAATATATCTTTCCTTCAAGCCCAACGTACAGAGGTTATAGCACTGAAAATCGACCTTGTTGAAAATCACCAAGTATTAGTCACTTGTACAAAAATGGAAGCCCTTCTAATTTAGGTGCATTTTCATAAGTGTGTTTGGATGTACAGAATATAAGCAGGCTTTGTTTTACTCTTAATACTATTTCCAATGCATCAACATTTATGAGGCTTTCACAAAGGGATTACCATGTATCATAATATAATTTGTTGAGAAAGACATACTGCAGACTCTGTCAAGAGTCTCAAATCACTTTTTTATCCACTTGTAAGGAAAATCAAATTAAAAACAGATGCAAACCCTTTTATTAGAAAATATAGATACTACCAACATATGAATAGTAGATCACCACAAGCTACAGAATGTATCATCATAAATAAGGGTTCTGGTCTCTCAAGTTGTCACATTTAAGAAAAAAAAAATCCTAACTTTTTAACTATGAAGAAAGTTCTCATGAGATGGGAAATGATCATCTATTATAATGACATCTATTACAATGACAAAAGGAGCAAAACAAGAATTATGTGACAGTCTTGGATTTGTGCATTTTTAACAACACAAGAATTTTTCAAACCACTGAGGAATTGTTTATTGCATATTAAAAACTTTAATGTAAAAATATTTCTCTAATGATTTGTAGCAGTTTATATCTGAAAAGGGCCTTAGAGACCATCTAATCCAGCTCCTTTATTTTGTAGATGAGGAAACTGATATTTGAAAGACTTCTTGTACCTTTTAAACAGCTAACCAGACTGATTCTGGCTCAACAGTTATATTTTAATATAACCAAAAAAAAAAAACCTCACTGCCATCAAGTCATTTCCTCCTCATAGCAACCCCCATTTGGGTATCTGAGGCTATAAATCTTTACAGAAGTAGATTGCCCCATCTTCCTTCCATGGAGCAGCAGGTGGGTTTGAACCATTGACCTTCTGGTTAGCAGTCAAGTGCCTTATTACTATACACCAGAACTCCTATTTTTATATAACAAAAAAACAAACTCACTACAGTCAAGTCCAACCCAACTCATAGCGATCCCTCTCCTTGGGTTTCTGAGGCGGTATCTCTACAGAAGTAGATTGCTCAGTCTTCCTTCTGAGGAGTGGCTGATGGATTTGAACTGTCAGCCTTCTGGTTAGCAGTTTAATGCCTTAGGCACTATGTCACCAGAGCTAGGTCTACTGTATTCTTGAAGACATTCTCTTAAATATTTTGCATCCTAAGTAATAATCAAAACAAAAATAAGTTCACATGTCTACCCAACTTCAGGATGAGATGCAAATATCATTTTAAAGTATAAAACCAGCATGCATTATTCTGTATTGTGAAATACAAAAGTATTAAGTAGAAATGAAAATAAAGTCAAATTTTGCATACATCCTTCAAGTACAAAAGTTGAAGAACAGAATTCCATGGAAAAGTCTTTCTTATGTAGTGAATTATATCCAAACAAATTTCCTCTGGACACTTCAGGCCTTCTTGGTGGAAAAAATAAAATATGGGAAGGTGTTAAACACTATTGGTAATTACTCATTTATTTGTATTTTTGTTATCATTTGTCTCCCCTACTAAACTATAAGCTGCATAATGGCAGGAACCATGCCTGATTTGCTCACTACACATCCCCTGAAAGGAGTTCTGGTAGTGCAATGGCTAAACATTCTGCTGTTAACCAAAAGGTCAACAGTTCAAAACCACCAGCCACTCTGTGGGAAAAAAGACCTGGCAATCTGCCATAAAGAATACAGCCTAGGAAAACTTACAGGGCAGTGTTACTCTATCTTATATAGTGGCTATGAATTTGGAATTGACTTTCTGGCACACAGGAAAAACATATGCCTTGAACTTAATATAGTTCATAGGATATAACAGATTCCTATTAAATATGTATGGGAGAAAGTAAAGGAAAGGGGAAGAGTTAAGTATGTGCTAACAAGTATCATTTTTACTCTGTTTATTTGTGACAAATCCTCTACCAACACTGAATTTTCAGCATTGAAGCTGATTATGGTTAAAATCTGTATGTGTGGTCTAAAATGTGAGCATGAGGCTCTAATCAGATATGATTTATTTTAGTTGGTTAGCTTGGGATTTAAACATGCAGGAAGAAATCTTTGGAATTAAGTCAGTGTTTAAAATAAATTCCAAAATGCATGCTTCTTAGTAGCACTGAATGCAGATTTTTCAAGCTCAGTGATACCAAAATGTTGCTCAGAAAATGTATGCAAGGATATTGTTGTTAGCTGATGGGACTCATGGGGACCCTGTGCACAATGGAATCACACCATTATGATC